GAGTGCCCTCTCCCCTCCCCCGTGGCCCCGAAGCTGGTGGGGACCCTGGCCTCCCCACCTCCCCTTTGGTCCCCTCCCTTCCCCTCCGACCGAGGGGACAGACGAACGAGAGACGGTACCCACGAGGGCGCATCACTGCTCCTGCTGAGGTGACCGAGTCCACGTCAGCCTGGCTGACAAAGGGGCCGCCCCCACGGCAGGGCAGGTGGGGCTTCACCTTTCCCGAGGAACAGACGAGCCTTGGAGCGGGGAGGTTGGGGGAAGAAAGCCCTGAATAGTTTATTGACACCGATTTGAAGCTGATGCGCCCCTCTCAGCTGCTGGACCAGTATGCGCAAACTGTGAATGCTTGGGACAGGCACCACGGTGTGGAAGGGACACGGGGCCTGCCTCGGGCCCCTGGGATGTGGACGCTGAAGGAGAGACACCAGTCCCGACTGAGAACCTGGGAAGGTCAGTGTTGGGCCCAGTGCGTGAGAGGTGGCCACGAATGCTCCTTTCTCTTGGGAACCCCCGTCTATCTGTAACCAGCCAGGGCCAGCAATGCGTCTCCAGGCCTGAGGGAGCTGGGATAGGACCACGGGCAGCCCAGCCCTCCACAGGTCCATGGAGACCAGGCTAGCCGGGCAGGAGTCACAGGCGAATGTGATCCTGGACGGCCATGGCCCTGATCTCCAACAGCTTCAGGCCAGCGTCCGTTCCTTGGGTGGACGAGAACCTGCAGCACCTGGACCCAACGTGGGGAGCGGGTCAGGGGCAGGCGACAGAGGAGGAAAGCAGTGTCTCTCTGGCTTTTCTGCTTAAAACTGACAGAAGTCAGTAAGAAACCAGGAACCTCGCCTCTGCAGCTCCTGGAAATGTGTGGTCTTGGGCTTGGGGGAGTGAGGGTGGGGGGTCTTGGCTACAGGACAGTCCTGTGGGCCCCTCACCCTCGGAGGGGCCGGTGCTCGTGCCACGCCTCCCCTTGTCTGGACACCGTCCCGGAGGGGATGCCAGGAGGCCAACCGGCCTGGTGGTGGGGGATGTCTGCCCACTGCGGGCTCGGAAAGGCGGAGGGGCATGGAGCAGCCCAGCAGTCCCTGTAGGCTCTTGGCCGCTGGGAGTGGTCTCTCCCGAGGGGCCCAGACCCCACCTGGCCACACTCCCGAGCCTGGCTCAAGGACGCGGCTCCCAGTCCATCACACTGAGCAGCTGTGGGGAGGGAAGAAGCACCCTCGGGCAGCACCTGCTGCTGGGAGATAGTCACGCTGAGTCAGGGGCTGTGTCCAGACCTGTCCTGAGGCCTTGCTGGGCAGTGCCTGTCCTTTGTGTGCTGGGTTCTCTCCAAGGCGGTGTGCAGAGTTGTGGGTGGGTCCCCGGGTCAGACGTTGCTGACCCGGGCCTCCACCGAGGAGACGGCAGTGGGGCCCGTGTCCCTGTCCAAGGGCCGCTCGCGCCTGACATAGCGCGGCTTCCGCACTGAAACAGGGTCAGAGACAGGCAGGGTCAGAGTGGGGCCGGGGACAGGCGCGATGGCCCCAGGGCCCAGCCCTCCCCAGAGCTCCTGGGAGTGGGGTGTGGAGCAGCCCGGGGGAGGAGATCCCACTGAGCCCCAGCTTGTGCACAGAGAGTGTCTGATGAATGCTCCACTCATTGCAGACACTCGGTGCCCCTGCACCCCAAGCACCTTGGCCTGGGTGAGGGCCTTGCTCTCAAGAGACACAGAGGCAACAGGTCCCATGATGCACAGCAGAGCTGGACGGTGGCCCCCAAATGAGTCCATGTCTGAAGCCCCAGAGCCAGCAGATGCGACCTTACTTGGAAAAAGGGTATTTGCAGATGGGATTAAGGATCCTCCTGGATTATCTGGGGGGCCCTAAATCCAGTGACCAGCGTCCTCACAAGAGGGAGGCAGAGAGAGGAGACCCGGGAGAAGCCACGTGAAGATGGGGGCAGAGACTGGGGTGGTGTGGTCACAAGCCCACCAGAGGCCGGAGGAGGCAGGAAGGACCCTCCCCTAGAGACTCTGGAGGGAGTGCCCCCCAACCCCCACCTTGACTTCTGACTTCTGGCCTCCTGGACTGTGAGAGAATACACTTCTGTTGTTTCCAAGCCCCCAGTTTGTGGTCATTTGTTACGGCGGCCCTCGGAGACTAAGGCAGGGAAATTCAAGATGCTTGTAGATGGTACTGCTTTAGAGACATCAGAGACAAGTATTCTACAGAACAGAGCAGATCCAGCCTCGGCCAATAACCTCTTTGTCCCCAAAGAAGAGGGACATGTTCCCCTGTCCCCACTCCAGACCTCTGCACAGTGCCAACAACACAGACTGGGGAAGCCGGGAGGCTCCTACTCCAAGGCCTGTAGCTGTGTAACCGTGGGCCAGTCACTTAACCTCTCTGTGCTCATGTGTCATCTGTAACGGGGTTGATATGGGCGCCTATTCCTGGAATCATCTGAGGTGGGGCACGCCTGACCTAGCAAAACTGAAGTGCCAGCCACTCAGGAGGGACCACGGGAAGGCCTTATGCCTGGGCCAGCCTGCTCCCCACACCCACCACCCAGGTAGAGCTGGGACTTGGTGAGGGCCAAGCGAAGGCTTCAAGGGTGGCCCCAGACGCTGTGCTGGGGGGGTTCTCATTCTCCCCCAACAGACTCAGCATGTCAGGGACAAAAAGGGACAAATGGGAAAAGGCAGGAGAGCTGTGGCTGACTGGGGGAGGACCTGGCCCATGTCCCAAGAGTTGCAGGGCCAGGTGCCCGCAGAGCCCAGCCCTGCAGTGTCGCTGGAGAGTGGCCGATCCCATGGGCAAGATCATTTTGAAATTTTCACCCTGAGATGAGGGCTGACATACCTGAGGGCTGTGGCGGGGGAATCATGGCAGCCTTGAAAAGGAGAAAAGGCACAGTGAGAACAGCGGGCGGCCCCCAGCACAGAGGCCCACGACACGGGGGCACTTGGCCCATCCTTCCAGGTTACTTACGGCTTCGCCAGGCTGCAGGGCAGGGGCTGCGGGCAAACACGGGTGTCACCTGGGGCAGGGGTCCCTCGCCTGGGGAGGGGGTCCACGGGGCCTGCAGAGGCTCTTCCCCCACTCCAGGCTCAGCCCAGTCCCACCTCCCCGACTGCCCAGCAGTGCCCGGGGCCCAGCTGTCTGTCCTGCCACATTTCCCACCTGCTCTTGGGGTGGTGGGCCCCCAAGCACCCCAGGGGGAGCCGCCGTCCTAGGCCCTTTGGCAGAGCGACAAGCCAGCCCTCAGAAGGTACAGTGCTGTTGGGTCTCCAGCACCACCAGGAAAACAGGCAAGAGCATGCCTTCAGCCCCAGGGGAGGCCCAGCGTTGGGGGCAGGCCTCAGGGAGACCTCCACTGGGGAGGTTGCTATGCATCCCTGCACTCTTGGTGGCCACCTAGGCTGACCAAGCCCAGCTCTGGGGGTGTTCGGGAGGAGACACTGAGTGGGTCTGCCCCAGCCCCTGCACTGACACACCAGGACCCCTGTGGCCACTGCTGAGGAGCAGCCCCCCACAGCTGACCCGGAAGGGCCCACCCTGACTGGCGTGGGTCAGGATCTGGGAGCTCTAACAACCCCACTGAGGCACCCAGCATTGGCTCCGGGTGGGTGGACAGGGCTCTCACAGAGGCCAGGTGAGGAGGCTCTGGCTAATCACCCACTAGCTCGGTCCACGGATGGGTCCGATCTGGTGGCCGGACCACCTGCCTGGCACACCCGGGGGCACAGCAGGGGTGATGCCCGTCTCTTCCGGAGGGGGGCGGATCCGGCATCCAGGCCCAGGGTAAGCTGGGGTGGCCGGGGGCCCCACGGTCCCTGCACCAGCCTGCCTACCCCCACTCCCAGGGGGGCAGGGGAGCTGCGGGCAGGCGGCCACCAGACCAGGGGTGTCATCTCCTCCCCACCCCCCTCATCAGCAACCCCGCCAGGATGCCCCACGATGGAGTCACACCAGCACCTTTACTCTGAGAGCCCCACAGAATCCACGTGGGAGCTTCCCTAGGACGTGGCCGCCCCTCTTACTCTTGACACGAGAGCCACGTGGCAACCCAGTCCCCTTCCTGTTGTTTTGTGAGGAGTCTTCACGGCTGCACAGCCTGCGTCTTGCACCCCAGCCCCAGCCCCCATTGCCCCCCAGGCAGTCCCCGTGGCTCCCCGGGGGTGTGCACTGGCCGGCACCCTTCTGGCCGGAATACCTTTGTTTCTCCCGTAGAAGACCTTGGGGAGTTTGCTGGTGCGCTTCAGGTAGAAGAACCCAGCCACGGACAGGATGAGGCCAGAGCTGACGAAGAGCGTCCCCAGGAAGAGGGAGGCTGCCACCTGAGGGCTCCCTGTGAGCAGAGTGCATGGCAGCCAGTGGCAAGCCTGGGCGGGCCTCAGAGGACCTCCCAGGCCCCTGCTCCCCGAACATGCCTGGGCCCTCACGGGGTTCCACACTCAGGGCTCGGGTGCCCCGCAGACCCAGAACCTGGCTGTGGGGTCTGAGGTGCTCGAGTTTCCTAGGCCTCCGGCTTGTCACAGGAAGGTGGGGCACTGAGGGGGCTCAAGATTCCAGCCCCTAAGAACAGCAGGCCCTGGGGTCCCCATCTCCCTCCTGAAGGCTCAGCACAGACTATGGGGTCCCATATCCCTGGCATGCCAGGTCAGACCTTCAACTCAGAGGCAGGGGTTGCCACTACACCCTCACCTCGTGGGAGCTCGTTCCTTGCCCCTAGCTGGCCTTCCTAGCACCATGATGCTTGCCCATCTTTACCTACACGGGGTCAGGATGGGCTGGCGGGCCCATGGCTGGGGGCTCTGGATGGTAATTGTGGGAAAAGTGCTCTTAGATACCTGTGGGGAGGTGGCTTTCTGACCCTGAGACACAGGCAGGAGGTGTGGCCATGGCTACGTTGGAACCTAGAGGGGGGGATGAATTCCGGCTAATTTGGCATGTCCTGACCCAAGTTTGCCACAATGAAAATGGGCTCTAGAGCCAGACTAGCCGGTCTTCCTCCATCGGTACCCCCACTGCCAGACCCAGCATGGTGTCACAGGAGGTCGGGGCCGTCTGTGCTGACCCCACCCTAAAACTCTGCTGCTCTGGTGGCCGGCGTTGGTGCTCCAGGTCAGCACAAGGCCACACGCTTCTGGTCCTGAAACTTGTGCAGAAAGCAGGAGCCCTCAGTCCAGGTCCAACATGCCCTCTGCTGAAGGCCCAGTGTCTGGGGGACACACAACCCCCATCACAACCTGGTCACCTGACAGGAGGTGACCACTCCTGGGGTCGGTCCTGCTCCCTGACTGCAGTGGCCCCTGTGGCGGAGCTAAGCCTCCGCGGCTGGCGGACCACATCTCAGATAGGATGGGATGCAAGCTGAGGACAGAGTCTGCAGGAGGTGGGCCCTGTGTCTTCCCCATGAGGACCAGGCGGTGTGGTGGGCTCTTCTGCCTGGCAAGCAGTGTTTGCAGTCTGAGCCCTATATCCTCAGAAGAGCCTCAGGGGATGGGGGCCAGGGGGCCTCAGGGCACCCTCCCACCTCCAGACAACCGTACGTCCCAAGTTCCCGTGCACCGAGGTGCTGGGTGGGCCAGGACTGTGGCAAGGGGTGAGCTGTGCAGCTGTGAGCATTTCCACTCACTAGAACTGCTCAGGGGCATGTGCGAGGGCCTCCTGCCTGTGCCCAGTAAGCCCCGGCCTGGGGGCCACCGACTCCACCAGCCCTGCTCTGTGGTCAGGCTGGGTCCCTGTCCATGCATCTCTTGCCTGGGGTGCAGCGTGACCTTGGCCGTGGCTGTGGCCCTACTGAGGCCAGCATAAGTGGTTGTGTGCACTGGCAATGGCAGATGATGACCCCCTCCTCCACCAGGACCTGGGCAGAGGCCCTGCTCCCAACTGGTGAGCCAGAGACTCACCGAGATTTGGCTGCCCGGGCGTTCCTGTGCTCCTGTTCAGTGGGAACTGGGCGCCCCAGCCAGCGACTGTGGGGAAGCAGAGACGTCAGTGCGGCCGGCTCCCCGGGCAGGTCTGGACCACGCACGGGGACGCCGCTGAGACTCCCAGGGAGCCAGAGACGCAGCCCAGTGGGGAATCACGGGCCAGAAACCAGAAAGGGAGGAGGCCTGGAGACAAGAGCCGCCCTCACCCCACAGCCGTCCACATGGACACCAGGACTCAGGGAGAGAGGGGACCGGGTGGGGGGGGTATCCCCTCGACGGACGGTGGTCCAGGGAACCGTGGGCCGCCCGCTGCTGTGGGGACAAGAAGGGCAACTCCCACCCGTTCCTCCTGAACTTGGAGACGTGGCCCCTCGGTGGGAAGCGGGCCAGGTGGGCCTGGCGGGCGGGGCCACGGGGCGGCCGCGGCAGTGGGGGCTGAAGGTGCTGTTCCTGCAGCGGACGCAGCTGACACTCCCGTTCTCGTTCCGGTGCCTGTAGCAGCCTGTGCGGGAGACAGTGACTCAGCTCTGCCTTCGGGGGGCTTTCCCATATCCTGAGTTTGTGAAATTGAGAATTCGCTCAAGAATGCTAATTAGCTCGTTCTGGAAGTCTGGACGGAAGGGCAGGTTTGATTTCAGAAAAAGACACAAACTTGGCGGGAGCCGCAGCGAGCTCTCACCCAGGGGCTCTGTGGGATCCTTTCTTGGACGTCTTGTAAAACAGTCGGAGAGGCAGGGAACCCAAGGCAGGCAGGTGCCGTGCGCGGCCCCATGCTCCGGGGAGGACCCCAGCAGCCTGACCACCGGCCCCTCACCCTGCCTCCACAGGTGCCACAGGGACACGGCCACCCCCTTCAGAGGCACTGTCTCCAGCCCAGCTGTGACACTTGCCCTCTGCCGTCCCCTTCCCTGGGAGGTCCCAGACTGACGCCACTGCCCAAAGCCCCAGGCTCCCCCGGCGCTGGGAGCAGTGCAGCTCCCACTGGCCAGTGGTTTGCAGACAGTCCATTTTGCCAACTAGCCAGGGCACCCCTTAAGGGCAGGAATTGTGTGTTATAACCTTTATTGCTTCTTAACATCCCCAACATAGAGCACAGCGGCTGAGCAAACACATGCTCGATCAATACTGAGTGCAGGTACTGAGCTGGCCCTGAATGCTAGCGCTGGCCCCTGGGGCAGTGTCCAGGGACACGTCCTTCATGATGAATTGTACTGATGTTTAATCCACACACAATGTCACTGTGAGGTGAAGGCCTTTCTGCAGGGACACCAAGTGGACGGCAGGGCCCGAAGACTGACCAGTGACAGTGCCTGTGATGCTGTGGGCAGACAGGCCTAGCACCACACCAGGGGGCCTGGGAACCGGGGGGCCTGGCATGCACCTGGCGCCCATGCAGCAGTTCTCCCGAAAAGCACCCCTCTGGCTGGCTCCAAGGTAACTGGGAGGCCCCGGGCTGGGCTGTTGTGTGCAGGGACAAGGGACAGCTAGAGAGCCAGGACCAGTGACCAGAAAGACTAAGGAGCTAAGGTTGACTTTATGAAGCCCCTTTGAAAAACCACCTGACACCTGGCTTACTGGCTTCCCAGCCTCACAGGTGAGCAAGGAAGGTCACTTACGGGGAAGTCCAGGAAATGAGGGTATTCGGACCTTGAGAAGAGAGGGATTCACCAAAATCTGTATGTATTAGGGTTAGGGCTGATGGCGAGTCCTTGGCTTGGCTTCCCGGCCTCGGGAGTCCAATCTAAGATTCCTTGTGGAAAGGTCCAGCAAGGCAGACTTAAAAAGAGTCTGAATGGTCAATCACTATTCTTGCTGCACTATGTAGATGATCAGGCCACATTTAGTGAGGCTAGACTTATTTTAAAAGCCAATTCACGTCTCGCTGTGATTGTCTTTGGTAGAAGTGGGGGTGACGGTGTCTGTAACGCATCTATGTGGGTATCAGACTCCACTCCTGTTCGTGTCTGAGGTTTTGTTACCTACCTGTAAGCTGCACCGGCGCCTGAAACCTTCCAGTCTCTTCCAATATTTGGCTATGACTCTTCAAACTAACATTTCCACTTTCCTCCCTCCCACCCTCCTGACTTGGAATCACTAAGAACTAAAACTGCCCTTTCCCCAAAGCCCTGCAAGTGGAGGCTGGATGTGTGGGTATGAACTTCGGAGAAATCACCTCGACACCTCACGTGTGGACACAGCCTCACGCCTGTTCCCGTGTGGGCCTCTCAGAAAGTTCACAAGCAGCCCCACGGCCTCAGCACATTCGCAGTACAACCCCGGAATTTGTCAGACACCGCCTCTGCCATCCTCACTCCACCTAAATGGGCGTTGAGTCCACCATCTAGAAGGGTACTTAGCTGACTGCCCTCTAGATTGAGAAACTAGACTTAAAATTTGCTGCAACCATTAACATTTGTTTTTCTTTGGTTTCCATAGAAATGCCTCTTACTAAATACCCGATTGCTCCCACCACAGAGGCGTCACTCTCGGGGAGGCCCACCTGCCACACCGGCTCCTGACACCTGCACATCAGCTTCACCGGACTGACCACTGCCAGGACTAGAGGCCCCTCTGGTGAGGCGCAGGACAGCGTGCTCAGACCTGTTCTTTTCTTCTGGTTCCATCTACGCCTCTCTCCCCCTTTGCCGGTCCCTTATCTCCCAACTTCCAACCCAATTCTCTTTGCAGCTTGGCTTTTAATATGTAAAACTTTCTGAGGGTAAAGTTTCAAATGGGGGACCGAGGGAAACCAGAATATGCCTCTTCACACACAAAAATATTTCCAGCTAAAGACTCTTAAAAAACAGCAGGAGCAAGAAGGGCCTGGACCTCCCTTTTTCTCCCTGAGAAGCAGGAGACAAAGGCCCCACATGAAGGTCACCCACACAGCAGGAGGAAAGAAACACACTCACTGCCAGAGACCGACGGCCAGGCGGACTTACCCACCTCCACCCAAGAAGAGGCGGACAGGCTGCCAGCCAGGAGGGAGGCTCAGATGGGGTCCTGTCACTTTCCTGCTGCTTCTGCCCATTCTCCCAGCCCCTCGCCTACCTCCCAGGCATCTCCAGCATCCTTCCCGAGGGGCCTGTGTGCCCGCCTGCTCACACCAGCTATGTTGACCCCCACAGGGTTCGCAAGAGCACTGTCCTCATCACCAAGGCTGGTCAAGGTTGGCTGGTGCCAAAGCAGCTTACCTGGACCACACAGGCTTGTGCCCCCGCAGGTGGTGTTGACATCCACCACATCCACACAACATTCAGGCTGCTGGCCCTAGAGGGGAGAGGGCAGTGAGTTTGCAGACCCCACAGCTGGGGCTCGGGCAGGACAAGCAGGCCAGGCTGAGAATGGCATCCGCAGAAGGGGTACCTCACAAGCTTGACCCAACGCCCATGGCCCTGGCCTCTTCTAAATTCCAAATAAAAAAAAAACAAAATTCCGAATCAGGTGACCATCTCTTGCTTACCCAGAGCGAGGTGAGGACACAGTCACACCACATGAACACTTCCCGGGACAGAACTTCATGTGCCCAGTGAGTGTTTGATGACTGAATAAACACAAGCATGTTCCTAAGCACTCAGATTCCCAAAAGCAAGGAAGGGGGATCCCTTGGGGGCCCACCCAGAGATTCTGACCAGGGGACTGGGCTGGGGCAGCCTGGTGGGGCAGGGAGTGGTCCTGGGGACACTTGCCAGCCTGTGGGTGCTCGGCGGTCTATGCAGCCACTTCCCTCCCCTGCCTGCCTGCCTGCCTGACCACACGGCCTCGCCTGGGAGCTGGTAGGAGCTGTGGCGCTTTCCGAAGGTGGGTCTCTTGGGTTCGGGGCAGAGCTACTGCTGCTCAGCCCCATGGACACAAGTGGATATAGGGTGGGGCACTTCAATCCAAAAAATTATTTATAGGCATACCTCAGTGATACTGTGGATTCGGTCCCAGTACAGGATAAAGTGAATCAAGTGAATTTTTTGTTTTCCAGTGTATGTAAAAGTTACGCTTATGCTATAGTCTCTGAAGTGTATAACTGCATTGTGTCTAAAACACAATGTACGTGCCTTAATTTAAAATACTTTACCACTACAAAATGCTGACCATCACCTGAGCTTTCAGCGGGTCATAATCACTGATCAGAGGTCACCATTAACAAATAGGATAGTCATGAAAACGTCTGAAATGTTGCGAAGATTACCAACACGTGGCACAGAGGCTGTGAGAACGACGTGTGCCTGTATGTTGCTCACCACTTGCCAGACAGTGGCTTTGAAAATTAAACAATTACAGGTGCTAAACCCTACCCCAGCGCCACAAGTGGACTCCTTCCCAGGAAAAGGAAACACACGTTTTTCTAGACTGTAATAAAATATGAAGATAAACCCAGACATCCATGGCCTCCCCGGTGAGGCGTGTCTGCCCTTTGTGCCCCAGAAAAGTCACCCCATGGGTCCTGCCTGGTTGCTCTTCTCAGCGTTCTGTGGCTGCCCTCCACAAGGGGTTTCTAGCAGGGCCCCTGCAGAGGAAGTGCCCAGAGCAGGGCAGGTTGTGGGGCAGGAACTCATGCCTGCTGTGTGCATATGCAGGGGGGGGTACTGAGTGGGGAACAGATGTGCCAAGTGCTGGCATTTACAGGACCAAACTCGAGGGGCTTCCCGTGGGAGTTTGGCTCAGTGTGTGTTTATCACAGCCGAGCTTTTGTTTCTTGTGCCGAGAACACAGTGAACAGTGAGGGGTGTCTAAGGAACGGCATGGACACTCTGTGCCACCACAGGAGGGGTCCAAGGCCAGTTCGTGGCTGAGGTCAAGCCCACGAGGGACACTCCAGCCACATCCCATCCCACCCAACCCTGGCACAGGCAGAGCGGCTGGAAGGCCTCGCCCTCTGGAAGGCCTGGATGATGTGCAGCTGGGTGCACGTGGGCATGGCCAGGGCACAGCATACCCGTGTCAGCGGCCTGGGAGAGCCAGGGTACCTGGCCACAGGAGGCCTGCAGCAGACCCTGCCTAATGCTGCTGCTTGCCTGGACACGCAGTCTCCATCCACCCCAAGTTGGGCAGGCAGCTTGCAGGCTCCCCTCGGTGCCAGTGGGGGCAATTGTGCAGAGACCCTTTTCCAGCTACAGTAACAGGTTCAGTTTGGCAAAGAGAAAAAGAAGCTTCTAGGGGACGTCACAGAGCAGGTGCCAGTTGGGGGGCATGTGTTTGCTTTTCTCCGTGAGGCACAGGTTTCCCTGACCCCAACAGCAGGCACAGTTGGTTGTCCCTGGGGCCAGGGCAAGGGTGACCCCCGAAGGTTGCCAGGTGAAGGGCCCACTGCCTCCATGAGGGGCTGGGAAGAGAGGGTTTTGACTTTACTTCCTGGCACCCACGCCGCTGTGTGACCAGACACCTACCACACTTTCTGAGGATTTGCTGGCAACTTCCACCAGAAGGCCTGCCAGGAGGACGGCACGCTGGAGCGCCATGTTCCAGAACACAGGGTCTGCAACAGATAGGGGCACTGTGCAGATGTGGGCGCCTCCTTCCAGGGCACCAGGTGGGGGCCGAGGTGCAGGACCCTTACCTGGCCCTCTGGGATGGGAGCTGCAGACATCCAGAGGCGGAGCCCAGGGCTTAGCTGGCAGGGCGGGGCTGCTAAGAAACCGCAGATCCCTGGTCCCAGGCCTGCAAATCAAGGCAGTTGGTGAGGCCCATTGTTGGTAGGCTCAACTGACTTACCATAAGGAGCCCCCAGAGCTGAGGGACTGGAGGGTCTGTGCTCAACCCATCTGGATCTGGATCTGGATCTAGATGGACTACTCCTTCCTCCAAAGCTTTCAGCCATTCATTGCCTCCTGAAAGGATGAAGCAGAAGGGGGTTCTGCTCATGAGCTTGGACGGGACTTGTCCATCTGCCATCTTGCTCTGTCCTAGGAAAACCCCAATTCAAGCATTTTCACCAAGAGACAGAACACCTAGGCAGTGAAACACCTCTGGGGCCAACACAGGCCAGTCAGGGACCCTCAGCCTTATAATTTTCTACTATTCACCCTGCTCTTGTCATGGAAACTGCAGGAACAATGTCATCTTGGGTGATAAAAGTACCATCTAAAGCCACGACTGAGGAAAACCCCAGAGCAGAGGACTTCTGATGGAGTAACAGGCAGAAGGAACAGCAGACAGCGCCACACACTGCAAGTGCATTTCCCCACACTAGCAAACTCAAAACTCGGCAGCCCATGTGATTTAGGACTTAAGCTGTCACATTTCCAGTGTGACCAGAGAAAACTAACCTGCACAAACCCTGCAGTAAATTGTTAAAGTTTTAAACAAATTTCTGTTAACATGCAACATGGTAACCATAATTACCTGTCCGAAATGCAGCTGGCTAAATATTTTGACATATAAAAGTCACCTCTATAAAGACTTCTTACTGGACAAAAAGAGCTGTTACTCAGGGAACCTGTTCAGGTTCCTGGAGATGAAGCTTCCATGGTGGCAAGGTGGGTCAGCAAGGAACACATTTTGGGCTGGGGAATGAGAAACCACTCCTTCATCTGGCCTCAGGACCAGCAGGACCAGGTGGTGGGAGAGTTCCAGCCTGGGGGTCCTGGGGATGAGCCCCACTGCCGAGGATGTCAGACAGCCTCCTTAGGCTGTGGGCCCCAGACTTCCGAGCATGGGGAGGGGACACATGCATGACAGCAATACTGGGACAGGGGCTGGGGCTTTGTCCTGTTATACACTTCATGCTAGGAGCCCTGCAGAAGCAGGAACAACTTATGAGGCCTTGTTATGAGCCCCCTCCCCACCCCTTATTCATGCCATCCCATTTGAAATGCATGCTTTATTCAAAACGCACCTTCTCCTTTCTAGGACAGCAACTGCGGACGTCATAGACACGCTGACCCTCACCTACAGGGTGTGATCAAAACTTTTCCCTTTTGTGTATTCCATGTGTGCTCAGCAGAGCCCATCTCTCTCTGCCTTGTGGAAACCCTAAAAGTCACGGACCCTTCAGCTCACTCTGTGTTAAGAGGGCATCCCCACGGTCACATTAAGTCATAAATTACCCTTTCAATTCAGGAATCAGAAATCCAAGATTTTTTTTTAAAGATTTTATTTATTTGCGACAGAGGGAGGGAGGGAGGGAGAAGAGAGAGCATGAGCACAAGTCTGGGGAGGGGCAGAGAGGGAGGGGGGCAGACTCTCCACCGAGCAGGGAGCCCAACATGGGGCTTGATCTCAGGACCCTGAGCAGAAGCAGATGCTTAGCAGACTGAGCCACCCAGGCGCCCCTCAGAAGTCCCAGATTTTAATCAACACTTTCATCTGCCAGTTAGGCGATGTTATTGGGGTATAATTTACACACAATAAACTGCATCCATGTAAAGCACACATTCAGTGAATTCAGACACTGTGCGGGATGTCTCTGTCACCCGCAGAGGAAGCTTGAGCCCCTCTGCAGTCCTCCCAAGCCTGGCTTCATGCATCCACAGGCTCTTTATCACTGCAGATCAGCCTGCATTGTCTACAATTTTATGTAAATGAACCATACAGTATATACACTTTTGTGCCTGGCTCCTTCTACTTGAACTAATGATCCTTAGATTCATCTGCACTTCATTCCTTTTATGGCTGAATGATAATTCCATGGTGAGGGTGTACAACGTTGCTTTTACCCACCCACCTGCTGATGGACGCCTGGATTGTTTCTGGATTTTAATGGCTATAAATAAACCTGCTGTGGACATTTGTTTATGTGTCTTTGTGTGGACATTTGTTTAATTTCTCTTGGGTAGGTACTTAGGACTGGAACGGCTGGGTCAAAGTCAGTGTGTACTTACCTTTCTAACCTGCGATCTGTCCCCCACAGCGGTGATCCCAAGCACGCCCCCACCGGCACTTGGCATGGCACCCGTGGGTGCGCGGTGGTAACCCACTGTTGCTTTAATTTGCATTTCCCTGATGATCAATGATGGCTCTTAGCTCTCATGTGTTTATGTCTTCTTCAACCATTTGCCCATTTTGTTTAATTGGCTTTCTATTATTGAGTTGTAATAGTTCTTCACATGTTCTTTGTCAGATATATGCATTTTTCAGATATAAATATTTTGCAAATATTTTCTCCCATCTGTGACTTGCCTTTTCATTTTCACATGAGTATCCAGAAGAGTGTTTTCACTCAATAAAATCAAACCCATCAATTTTTTCTTTTATGATTCTTGCTTTTTTGTGTCCTAGGGTTAATCTCTGCCTTGACCTCATGGTCATTCCTATGTTTTATTCTAGAAGTTTTAGAGTTTTAGCTTTTACACTTTGAGTTACTTTTGTATATGGTATGAAGTAAAGATCAAAGTTTATTTTTTCCATATGCATGTCCAGGAGTTGTAGCACTGTTAAGACTTTCCTTTTCATGTTATCATGACATCTTTGTTGAAAATCAACTGAGTGTATGTATGTGGGTCTATTTCCAGACTTTCTGTTCTGCTCCACTCACCTATGTGTCTATCCTTCACCAACATCACAGTCTCAATTACTAAAGCTTTACTGAAATCTTGAAAACTGGTAGCATAAGCTTTGCTTTGTTTAATTGCTGTCAAGTCTAGGTTATGTGCATTTCCATATTTTAGAACCACTTTCCCAGTTTCTACAAAAGAGCCTGCTGGGCTGGGGCTCCTGGGTGGCTCAGTCGGTTGAGCGTCTGCCTTCGGCTCAGTTCGTGATCCCGGGGTCCTGGGATCGAGCCCCGCATCAGGCTCCCTGCTCAGCGGGAAGCCTGCTTCTCCCTCTCCCACTCCGTGCCGCTCTGCCTGCTTGTGCTCTCTCTCTCTCTCTCTCTCTCTCTGTCTGTCAAATAAATAAATAAAATCTTAAAAAAAAAAAAAAGCCTGCTGGAATTTTGGCTGGGATAATCAACATTTTAACAATATTGAGTCTTCCAATCTATGAATGTGCTATCACTTCCCATTTCTTCAAGTTTTCCCTTCAGCTGTCTTCTGAAGTTTGCAGTGAAGAGGTGGTCCTGAGCAGAAAGGGGTTCTGCACAAGCCAGTCCTATACACAAGCTCAGACTACTCAACAAATAAGTTTGTTAAACTTATTACTAAATATTTTATTTTTTGGTATTATTGTAAATAGAACTGAATTTCTAATTTCACTTTCCAATAGTCTGCTGCCAGTACATAAAAATACAATTAAAATTTGTCTATTAGTCTTAGTTTCTGAAATTTTATGAAATTCACTTGATAGTTCTAGCACTTTTTGTAGATTTCTTAGGATATTCTACATAAATAATTATGTCATCTGCAAAAAAATCCAGCTTTACTTCTTTAGTTTTTTTTGAAACTTGTTTTAGGGCACAGCACTTGGTCTATGTTAGAGAATGTACAATATGCACTTAGTAGGAATTTGTATTCTGCTTTGATGGGTGTAGCTTTCTACAAATAGCAATTAGGTCAGGATGCCTGAGAGTAGTGTTCAGATCCTCTATGTCTTTACTAATTTCTTTTGGGTTTTTGTTCTAATATTTGGTGGGAGAAAGAGATGTTAAAATCTCTTATTATAATTGTGGAACTGCCTAATTATCTCTCTAGTTCTGTCAATTTTGCTTCATTTATTTCGAGGCTCTGTTATTAGACACATTTATAATTGATAAGTCTTCTTGATGAAACGAGCCTTTTATCATTAGACATTTCCCCTTTATCTTTGGTGATACTCAACCTCCTGAAATCTATTTTATCTGATATAAATACAGCTACTCCAATCTTCTTATGTTCACTGTTTGCAAGATAGATAGATGGATAGATCTTAGATCTACAGATATATTTTGCATCTATATATCTTATTTTCAACCTGTGTTTTTTATATTTAAAGTGAATCTCCTGGGCGCCTGGGTGGCTCAGTTGGTTAAGCAACTGCCTTCGGCTCAGGTCATGATCCTGGAGTCCCGGGATCGAGTCCCACATCGGGCTCCCTGCTCAGCGGGAAGTCTGCTTCTCCCTCTGACCCTCTTCCCTCTCGTGCTCTCTATCTCTCATTCTCTCTCTCTCAAATAAATAAATTCTTTAAAAAAAAATAAAAAATAAAAAATAAAGTGAATCTCCTATATACAGTATGCAGTAGGTCTTGCTTATTTATTCATTGTGACAATCTCTGTCTTTTAATTGGAGAGTTTGGTCCATTAACATTTATGTAATTATCACTATGGTTAGACTTAGGTCTACCATTTTATTACTTGTTTTCTACTTGTCCCTCTGTTTTGTTTTGTCTTAATATATACAATATTTTTATATTTTTTAAAGATTTATTTATTTACTTGAGAGAGAGTGAGTAAGCAAGCGCAGGGGGAAGGGCAGAGGGAGAGGGAGAGAATCTTCAAGCAGACTCCCCACTGAGCACAGAGCCCAACTCAGGGCTTGACCCCAGGACCCTGAGATCATGACCTGAGCTGAAACCAAGTTGGATGCTCAACTGACTGAGCCATCCAGGTGCTTATAATATACAAAATTTTTTTAGAGCAGTTTCAGGTTCACAGCAAAACTGAGCAGGAAGTAAGAGTTCCCATACCCCCCACACAAGCAGAGCCCCCTCCAACATCCTGTACGTTTGTTATAATCAGTGAACCTATAGTGACACACCACTGTCACCCAAAGTCCATATTTACACTATGGTCACCCTTGACG